AGGCATAAGACAGGAGCAGAGGAAACTCTGCTCAGTGCGAGAAGAGTCTGGAGTAGGTGCAGTCATCGGTCCTAATGCTGGATTGGGTGGAATGTCGTCAAGTGTCAGCCGTGTACCCAGCTCAGGATACATTGGATTCCAGGCCAGCAAAACCACTCCTCCTCTCCTGAATGCTCTGTTGGGGGGCTTTCCTTGGACTACTGTTGATGAGAATATAACCTGCAGGAACTCTACCTGCCCATACTTTCATTAGGTGGGACAGAGAGCTCCATATGGGAGGAGTGACACTGACATCACCAGGGGCGGAGTTCTTTATGAAGATGCCACCAGGTCGGTGATGTCTCTAACCCCCTTATGAGACTTTATTCCTTTTTTATATTATGTTGAAAAACATATTTAAAATTTCCCATGACCTCTGAAATTAAATGGAATGACAAGAATTTAGGACTCTGTATGGGAAGTGGGGGACAAAGTCAACCTGATGTTTCAGGGGGAAAGTTGGGTTTCACAGAACTATAAGCCAAAGTATTTGATCGACCCTTTGACACTGAACAACACTGACACAGACCTATGGGAACTGGAGTATGTCTTAAATCAGCAACTGTACATAACAACCATGTACCACTTGCCAGTAAGAGAATGTAATCAGTGCTGGCATTTTTATTTTGGACACATCAACTGTGCACCAAAGCAGACATATTTCTAAATAAAGGGCACCCCTACAATATGACTGACTGGAGCAAAATCATGTCTAAGTATCGGAATACACCATAACCCAAATTGCATGGGGAAGCCTGCATTAAAAAACAAAAACAAAACTACCAAGCATGCAATTACAGTACTTATTTCACGAAACAGCTTGCATATTTCATGACATGTTGTTTGCAAGTTAGCTATTATAAAATCAAATGTAAATGATTTATTGAGGTAAGCAAATAGTCTTGTGGCGTTTGGAGAATTATTGTAAAAATGCAAAAAAAGAAAGAGAGCAAAGCACTGTAAAGACAGCTTCACTTGCTTACATCCTCAGACCAACAAGTGCCACTGAACTCCATTCACCAGTGTGCAGTTCTCCACACTAAGTAGCACAACCAGAAGTGCTCCCCCAAGATCTGCAGCTTTGTTGCCCTTGCAGAGCTTCAGAGCTTCATTTAACAACAGACCAGAACAAACACAGCTAAACAGAGCAAGGCATGAAAGCAAGAGGTCAGCATGAATCGATGCTGTGTGGTACGAAATCCCACTCAAGGCGCTAAGAGCAGAACCAGGATGGAGCTAATGAGGCCACCATTTGGGATGCCTTGGCTGCAGGGAGAGTCTAACTATAACTATAGGTTTCTGGATGAAACATCGGCTCTGGATCCATTCCAGTCTGGCTTCCGCGCTGGTCATGGGACCGAGACGGCTCTGGTCGCCCTAACAGATGATCTCCGCAGGCAGCTGGATCGAGGCGGGTCGGGGCTGCTGATTCTTCTAGACCTGTCAGCAGCCTTCGACATGGTTGATCACGAACTCCTGGACCACCGCCTTGCCGACGTGGGGATCCAGGGCACAGTCCTTCAATGGCTGCGCTCGTTTCTCTCCGGTCGGGGACAGAGGGTGGCGCTTGGGGGAATTGTCATCCCGCCACTCCTTGGTGTGTGGAGTGCCTCAGGGTGCGATACTCTCCCCGATGCTTTTAACATCTTTATGCGCCTCGCCCAGCGTGTCCGGAGTTGTGGGCTGGGTTGCCATCAGTATGCCGATGACACCCAACTCTATCTGTTGATGGATGGCCATCCTGCCTCGGCCCCAGACACACTGACCAGATGTTTGGAAGCTGTGGCTGGATGGTTACGCGGAAGCCGGTTGAAGTTAAATCCTTCGAAGACAGAGGTCCTCTGGCTGGGACGGGACGATATGGGATTGGGGGCAACTCCCATCTCTTGCGGGGTGCAATTAGTGCCAGCACCGTCCGTTAAGAGTTTGGGTGTAATCTTCGATACCTCCCTCTCTATGGAGGCGCAGATTACAGCTATAACAAAGGCGGCATTTTTCATCTCCGCCAAGCTAAGCAGTTGGCCCCTTATCTCTCTCGCCCTGACCTAGCCACTGTGATCCACGCGACGGTCACCTCCAGACTGGATTATTGTAACTCGCTCTACGTGGGGCTGCCCTTGAGACTGACCCAGAAACTCCAGCGGGTGCAGAATGCCGCGGCGAGACTCCTTATGGGGTCTTCGCTGCGAGATCACATTCATCCGGTACTATACCAGCTGCACTGGCTCCCGGTGGAGTACAGGATCAGGTTTAAGGTGCTGGTTTTAACCTTTAAAGCCCTATACGGCCTAGGACCCTCGTACCTACGGGACCGCCTCTCCTGGTATGCCCCACAGAGGAACCTACGGTCTGCAAATAAAAACATCCTGAAGGTCCCAGGCCTCAGAGAAGTTAGGCTGGCCTCAGCTAGAGCCAGGGCTTTCTCGGCTGCGGCTCCAATCTGGTGGAGCGCTCTGTCACAAGAGACTAGGGCCCTGCGGGACCTGACATCTTTCCGCAGGGCCTGCAAGACAGAGTTGTTCCACCAGGCCTTTGGTCAGGGCCCAGCCTGACTCCCACCTCCGGCAACCTGCACAGAACTTTGCTTAACGGTTGCCATTAATTTGATTTTAATTAATTTTATAATGAAATGTTTTAGAATGTTGGATTATTTGATTGTTTGATTATTTGTTTGTTGTTAGCCGCCCTGAGCCTGGCTTTGGCTGGGGAGGGCGGGATATAAATAAAATTTATTATTATTATTATTATTAACTACTAAAGTACAGAGGGCTCTGCTTACCTGCTCGTGATACTCAATCCCCATGCTGAGGGTATTGATCAGGATAGCTATCATGATCCCACGGCCAAAGTACTTGCTATCTACAATCTTCCGAAATGTCTCACAAACCACCTTCCAGAAGGCTAGGAATTTTAAGGTGTTTCTTCCCCGGGCTTTCCAACGCTGAGGGTCCCTCTGATCACTGTAGTGAGCGTCCTGAGTAAACTCATATACCCCGTCGCTGTCAGAATCTCCCACTTCATTGTCCACCAGCTCTGGATCGTTAGCCAAGGTCTTCATGCAGTATGGACAACTATCTGGGTTGCAAGTATTGTTGGGTTTCCCAGACTGGCTGGAAATCTTGCAGGAACTTTGACAAGCACCTGAAACAAGGACAAAAAAAACCATACCCTCTGTTATTTCACTAAAAATCTTGGAAATCTCTTTCTGGAGCAGCCGAACAATGTCGGTATCCAACTGCAGTTTTGGTAAGTTCAATAATTTCACACCAGATGTATGAGGAGAACCTCTGCCCCGCTGAAGTGGTTATCTCCAACCAACGCAAAAACAGTATGTGTGTATAACTTTTACCATGGCTAGAACAACATTTGAACCATAATTTTTGACTATCTACTGAACCTGAATCAAGACCCTTACTAAGAGATTGATAAGAGGGAGGACACATTAGATTCTAAAAACCTGGTGATTTTTGATGCTAAGCATCAGCCTGCCCCCTACATTCTCCAGCACTGTTGCCAGAAAGGTCAGCCCCAATTTAATGAGAAGAGAATTGAAGGGCACAAGTCAAAGAGAGCAAGAGGTGGGAGGATAGGAAAACACAGAAGTGGGACATCAAATGAGCCAGAGGGGCCCTTTCAGGAATAGCTTAAACAGTCTCTGTTGAGAAAACTAGATCAAGTGCCGCATATATGCTGCAACTGAAAAAGGAGCTACATTCCAGTTTCTCCTTCCTCTTCCATAGCTTCTAGAACTCGCTGCCAGGTATGAGATCCCAAGGGACCTTGTTTCCCTGTCATTCCCTCCCCAGCAATTGTCAGCCAATGATTTGGAGGGCTGTGACACAAGTTAAGTTCTGCTAGATATTACAGGTAGGGGAACTACCAGACACAATTTCACTTGCAGGCAATGTGTTTGCTGTCACTTCTGCTTACATCCCGGGGTTCCGCCACTAGTGAGGAAACATGCACCAGCCAGTAAGCTATTATAATGAATGCAGGCAAGGTTTTATTTGAAAGAAGCTTTGTGCAGATATTAGGCCTGTTCTGCTGCTTCTTTAAAAATCTCCATCGGTCAGAATTCAGAAGCAACTCATGCAACACATAGCAAGAGACCCATGAATGGCTACCATCCTACCTATGGGGATGCTTTAGGTGTCTCAGCCTGATTCAGCACAAATAGCAGGATTACGTTGTAGAATTTAGGGATCACAGTGAAGTGTGTGCGTGCATGTGAGCTGCCAGAGATGATGGCCCAGTTTCAACTAACCCAGCGTGCTAGCAGAAGCCTGTGCAGGGGCTCACACTAACACAACAGGGCTCCCCTCCTCTCCTCCCCCCATGCACCACCACACCTCCCCCAGATCTGGTCTGGAGGTTTGGGAGAACCCTGAGAAGAGAGCACAGGGCTAGGAGAAGGAAAGATCATCGCACCCGGCAAGCAGAATTCTTGCACTGATGTAACAATCATAAGAGTATGATGTTAAATTCCTCCCAGTGGTCTGGACACCATTTTCCCATAGGATCATTGTTTTTGAAAAGCATCTTCCAAAATACAATTCTGCAAGAGGAATCTGGAAACTCCTCAAAATGTTGAAACTTAAAAATGCTCTCCAACTTAATTTCTGTTGCATTCTCTTCAAACAGAAGCTTCAGTGTTGTACATATAAACTGGGCAAGTATTTCTCTATGGAGCAAGACCTATGAGGTCAGAATTGTCAGCTCTCATCACTGCAACCCAACACCCTTCATAACAACACAGCATGCTCTATGTTTTGTGATATGCTGATTTAAGACGGCATTTCATTTTTCATACTCTGAAGCTGGGAGGAGGAGGTAAAGACACTAAAACATTTATGTGTTTATATATACAGGGTGAGTCCTTTAAAAGAGGCCCCATGGATACAGAGTACACATGTTCCACGGGGCCTCTTTTAAAAGACTCAGCCTGTATATAGCTATAGGACATGCACACACACACACACACACACAGTTGACACAGTTTATCCTATTATATCTCACCTCCTTAAGCTCATGACCTAAGAACAGATAGGATACTTGGTGTGTGTGTGTGTGTGTGTGTGTGTGTGTGTGTGTGTAATATTCTCTGAATTTCTTCACCTTATCACCTATACAAAAGAAGAAAATCCATGATACTGTTCATTTCCACACCCTAATTTATTGGAAGGACAGATCCTGAAGCTGAGGCTCCAATACTCTGGCCACCTCATGAGAAGAGAAGACTCCCTGGAAAAGACCCTGATGTAGGGAAAGATTGAGGGCACAAGGAGAAGGACAGAGGTTGAGATGGTTGGACAGTGTTATCGAAGCTACTAATATGAGTTTGACAGAACTGCAGGAGGCAGTGGAAGACAGGCGTGCTCTGGTCCATGGGGTCACGAAGAGTCGGACACGACTAAACAACTAAACAATAACAATTGCTAAGCCATGAATGTCTGCTAACTAACTTTGAAGATGAAAAAAAAGAGAGAAAAGAATGAGTGACAGCTGTCCACTGCCAAGAGTTCACAGTCACCTCATTACATATTTGGCTATTAAGTTAAAACAAAAAGCAATCAGCTCTTCTGGCACCTGGAATATTAGGATCTGTAATTAGAGACAAGCACTGCAGCCAGCAAGCTGCTTGGGTGTTCCTGCTGTTTGCTGATACTTCAACATTAACAACTTCCCCCTAAACATATCATTCTCAAATCATTTCTCGCAATGGCTGAGGCCAGCTGACAGATGGTACCCCACCAGACGACAAGGATACAAAGAGTCTCCTGTTTGTGCTGGCTATGGTGGAATGAAGTTTGTCTGCAGAATGCACCTCTGACCCAGTTGTAATGTCTCTCTCATTTCGAAGCCAGCAGGGGAAACTCCCATGGCTGATATAAGGCAGATAATATGATTTTGGCTACCTGGCCCTACACCGCATCACATCCAGATAGTTTTTCTTATGGATCTCTCTAACGGCAAACATCATGTTCTGCTCATGTGTTAAAGGGGAAAGCATCATACACATCTGCATATATACTCACAGGTGTGTGGCTGCCTACCAAAACACATCATGTTCAGATAGAGCAGCTCTTACAAGTTACATAATGTGCAGCCTGATCCTATGCATGCTTGTTTGAAAGCAAGTCCCACTGTGTTCAGTTGGGTTGGCTGCAGTGCACTCCCAGGTAAGTGTGCTTAAGACTGCAGCCTAAGAGGTCACCTTCCTAAGAAGTTAAGGAAGAATTACCAAGTCATTAGATTGTTCTTCACTGTTATGAAAGAAAATGGACATGGGCAGGAAACAAATGCAAAGACAAATTCACTTTCTGAGTACAAAGCCCTGAATATTTGCACATTTGCAATGACGTGCATCAGGGATCGGAAGCCTGTAGTCTACAGATGTTGTTGGACTCCAGTACCCATCGGTCCCAGCCAGCATACATACACGAACAAAGTTCTTTCTTTCCTCTCTCATTGCTTTTAGACAAATATTAAGGCAACGGCAACTCTCAGAATGATGGAATGACTGCTCCAACGAAATAGGAGGCCTACCAGTCACCACCTTGACATAATGTGTCCTGCAGATGGAGAAAGTATGGAAACAGCACTTCTGTCTCTAACACATAGGCCCAGAGAAGGATGTTTAGAGCACTGGTCTTTAACTGGTGGCTTAGTGCCTGGTTTTAGGTGGGTCGTAACAGCAGCATGGTCCCCATACAAATATGTGGTTAAAAATTAATTAAGAAGGTCCTCAAATGAATATTTGGGTTAAAGGTGGGTCCCTCGTCTGAAAAGGCTGAAGACTGCTGACTTAGAGCAAGTGGGTCAGGTCTGGAATGCCTTCTTCATAACATTCATTTTCTTCTCCATCTTACTGGGGGGCACAGAACAGCCGACTTGCTATCAACACAAATTTGATTACATGTTACATTGTTACAACCAATTTGAAAAAAATTAAGCTCTATCTTTTCATTCTCTGCCCCCATTTCATGTTTTCCAGTGGGGCAGGTTGGGAGGAGGTAATCGACACACCCAAAACGAATTATTTCCAATGAACAGGTTTTGTTAGATCCTTATAAACTAACTTCTGTCTTAGTTCTGAACTGAAGACAACCCGAATCATCCCAAATCTCACCTGACCCTAATCAATGGCAGCCCTGCCTGAAAAGGTAAGTTAGGGATGAACAGCGGCTCTGCCTTCCATTTAAGTGGCATCTTAGTGGCTGACACCCTACCCAAACACTTACCAGTGCTCTGTGTCTCCAGTAGCTTCTGCATTGGACTATAGGGTCCTGGGGGGATATTAAGGTTCATCAGGGTGCTGGCCCCAGGGTTCAATGTGGGCTCTGCTAAACCTTTTTCTTTCAGCAGTTCATGGGAGTTACTTGGGTGTACAGTAGGGTAGACCTTGCTGCCAACCACAGTCCTGGGAAGCACCTCTGGCCCCGGTAAGCTGAGACCAGGCTGAGGCGGGAGAGATGATCTGCAGCGAATGGGCTCAAAATGACAGTCTGCATGGTAGATGCTATGAACGGACTCAGCGTTGCTGGCAGTGGGGTGAGGATTGGCTGTTGGAGGGAGCATCAGCCTATTTGCACCATTGTGAAGCGAGCTGGTTTCGACGTCGCTGATTTCAGGGCTGGCGCGCGGTGCCTGAAGGCTTCCGTTGCCCAGGTGATAGTGGTGGTGGTGGTGATGGTGGTGGTGAATGAGATGATGCACCGAGGACCTTTTCCGCGGCCGGTGTTTGCACGGCTGCCGCTCTGCACTGCTCTTGCTACCCGGGCTGGAGAGAAAGCCCATCCTCACCCCTGTGGTTCGGTAGACCTCCACCAGTTGCTTGCTGGCCTTACGGAGGACGTAGACGAGATATTTGAGGAGTTCGTCATAGCAGCTCCCTGGCTCTGAGAAGCTGGCCAGAGTGCTAGCATTGGAGAGGTAGCGGATTCGCTGCTCCTTCATCAGCTGGCTCTCCCGCTGCTTGGTCTCCGAGAACTGAGTTGCTATGACCACTAAGCAGAGGTTTATCATGAAGAAAGAGCCCACCTGTAAGGGAAGGAGGGGTGTGTCAGTATTCCTACACCCAGGGAGGAAGCCTGACGCAAGTGTATCTGAGAGAGAACCAGTCATTAAAAAAAAATCTTCAAAACTAGAGCTGAGCCAGCATTTCTCCGAAGACTCCCTCCCCCCTGCCTCCCCCGGAACATTTCTAAGATATTTTCTTTTTCTGAACCCCCTAGTAAAATAGAACCACTTCACGGAATTTCCCACCACCATTTATTTAGGTAGCATCCACTATTCCTACGTCCACCACCCCAGCAAACCACCACCATTGCCCTGATACAACACTAGGTCATGTGGTCCAATATGGTTGGTGATGCTGCCACTAGCAGTGGCAGAGCCAGTGCTAATGGGAAACCCCAAGAAACTGTTGGAAAACTTGTCACCTTGGCAAAATGGTCCCCTTCTCTCTCCACCCCCCATCAGTATGCAAATAGTGGGAAATTTCAAGCGGCACTCTGCTCACAGTTCTATTCAAAACCAATTTAAAAAGACCAAACAAGTATTATCTCATCACACAATGAAAAACAAAACTCTGACACCAAATCTCTTAATCGTCTGCCCTCAATACTATGGTCTGAAGGCACAGGATAATCTGGTGTGTGGTCTGGTCATAAGTTCCTGGAAGGAAAGCTTACTGGGAATAACAAGGGGACAAATTATAGGGTTGGATCCAGATTTAAGTTGATTCCCTTTGATTTCAATGGGAGTTGAAGTCATGAATAACTGGTCCCATTGACTAACTGGTTCCTGCCTCCATGACTGCCTGCCTGCACTGCTCATTTGCTTCCCCACACTGCTTCTGGGTCCAGACCGCTCCATTACACGGAGGAGAGGTCAAGGCAAGTGGAGGTTGCTCCTCCTTCTCTTCCCTCTTGTAACTGCTCCTACGCTTGGTGAGGGCAGGTGAACAGAGGATAGTGACACCAGAACGCAGACACAGGGTGAAGGTGTTGCAGGGGCCATCAGGGAGCCCTTTGCTAGGCCACAGGCCTTGGCAACTGCCCAATAATGCCAACTCCTGACACCGATCCAAGCTGTCTCCTTTTGTAAGTCTACAGCTCTGTTATCTAGAGGTGGTGTGCTTATGTATACGAAACTACACTGATGTTCTCAGCCTCAGGAGTCACTCAGGAAGTGCACCTGTGTCTAAAAATCACAATATGGGAAGTAGCTGACAACAAAGGCTAGTGTCATGTAATACAAAACATAGCCCCAAACCCCGTCCCAGTCAAGAGCAGTCATCATCACATTCTGTGTGTGACTCACACGGGGTGGATATTCCCTGCCCTGTTCTTTTCTTTCCTTCCACCTCAAAGACTCTCAAGCTTCCTCACCTCAGGGACACCCACTCCTCAGTTCCGCAGATGACACAAAGAGCTCAAAGCAGAAGGGAGATTTATTGTGACTTAGAAGGGTTTCTCTAATTTTTGCTTCCCGGTAGTCAGAGCTTAGTTATTATCACAATTAAGTAGCATTTCTTTCTCCCATGCATTTACTTTTCAGGACAGATTTTTCCCTCGCAGAGAGGATTGGCAGCTTTGCAAACAGATCTCCCGCTTTGTTAACTGGAATTGCGGAGAGGCTGTAACCCAACAACAGCAGCTGTCTGCAGCAAAAGACTGGATATTTTCCTCTGAAACAGTCTTTTCATCAGGCTGCATTTTCAGGAGATCATGATCATCATTCAGCTTTGAAAAGGACCTAGTAACTAGCCTCCTCTCCTGGCTACCGTATACCTTCAGATATATGATCCATGCATGTCACCTGAGCAGTAAGAAGATGCTGATTCATTTTCCCTTTCATTGCCATCAAGGGGGAAAGTAAACATACAATCTGTTCATACCCCCACATGCTTATGAGACTGCAAGTCAGTGCACCTTTCAGCCATTTAGGTATGATTAAATATCCATCTCAGCCTAAGGAATCTAGAATGATCTTAGCAAGCTGACCTCTAAGTGCGTTTATAGTGCCCAAGACCCAAGTCACTCTGTTTCTGATCAAAACAGAACAAATTGTTCTGGGGTTTATAAACATATA